TTTAGCTGCTTCTAGGCCTTAAAACATTTTGAATCATATCTTTAAATTGTTAATTAGAAAATAAGACTTTCAAGATAATGGTAAAAGAATTCTTAAAATACAGCTGTCACTATTCACAAACCGTAGAATCAGTAGATGATATCAATAGAATTTCTGTGAAAGGGCAAACAGCAGAATATGGCATATAGTGAGAAAGGAGCAGATTACAGTTTCTTTTAAAAAAGATTTTAAAATTATTGACACACTATACTAATATTTATTCCTTTTGAAAGACACAGCAGAATTTAGCGGTTGAAGTTCACAATTTTAACAACTGGAAACTACTTCAAACGATGTTGCATGTGTACCATGGTAAAAGTTTTGTGACAAAGTTGTATTTCTGGTCAACAGTGATTTCTGACAGCAATGCTGCCTCAGTGAATTTAGATATTACTTGTATTAATTAGAAATATTTATTTTCATTTTAAGTACACCATATTTTCAAACACAAAAGGTGCACTTTGAACCCATACACTCTATACCTCATTTAACTGAAAGCTCATTACTAGAACAGAGTTGTGATAGGGTGGTCAGATGAATAAAAAAAAAAAAAAACCCAAAGATTCTTAGAAGTGCTTAGATGTTACAGTACTGACACTTATTTCTTCCTCCCATCTTATGAGATGTATTTTGTAAAAATTTGTTACCTGTCTGTGCTGACAAGAATAATCTTTTTTTAATAACAACTACTGAATTCAGGAATTTCCCATTGTCCCTGTAGAGTTAAACCTGCTTCGAAATGTTGATGCAAACAACCCAGAGAGCAGCACAACAGTGAAAAGCTCAAGCTTGCTGAGTGGATTCAGAGGTGGCTCCAGTTACAACCATGAAACTGAAACCATCTTTGCGTTGCCAAGGATGCAGCTGGATTTTAAATCTATTCATGTTCAAGAGCCCCAAGAGCCTTCATTACAAGGTGCAGTAAACATAATTTGTTTTTTCTTGATACAAAGCTATTTCTCATAAATGAGGAGTTAAATACAAATCTACCATGCTGATCAAAGGATTTAATCTGAGAGTTACTGCAGATCTGCAAGAAAGGATGCAATTTCATATTAAAATGTAGGGGGAATTCTGATGAGAGAGTGAAGATCTAGTCCAGCGTCTGGTTACTATAGAAAAAATACTTAGAACTGAATACAAAAATTTCACTTAGGCTGTTTTTAGGGATTTCATTTTCTTATTTTTATTAAAATGTTAGAGAGGAAGGCCATTCTGAAAAAGGGAATATGAGACGACAACCTAAATTGTATGCTCTTGTTTCCAAACTGTTGTCTTCACACTGCTGTTGGAACTGGTGGGAAATAAGACTTCTGAAGGTGTGAGACATTAATATAGATGTTTATCTTGGCTGAGCTGTGGATCCTAGATCCTAGACAGTACTGCTAGATAAGTCAACCTGTTCGGTTTTGGTTGTTTGGTTTTTTTTTCCAATAGCTAAACTAGCAAAATCTGCCATCAGCTTTTCTTATTCTCTAAAATCATGCATTGATAGCATAGCACAAGTCAGTGATACCACTCTAGGTTGACCTCCCACCTTCCACCTGATGATCAAGGTTGCTATGTGGTAGTATTTCTTTATGTTCAACATCTTTTATAAAATACCAGAAGTTACTCTGGTGGGAAAACTGATAAAAAAATGCCGAAGCTGCTAAGAAGATGTTAATTGTGGTCCTTCCTCTCTTTTGAGTCTCTGGTTCAGTAAGAGCAATGTCATTTTCAAATTATTTGTATTCAAATTCTGTGTACTTTTATGTATGCTGTATGTACTTAGAAGTGTATTGATACTATTTTTATCTGACTGTAGATACAAGTGTTAAACCAAAGGTGGAATGCAGTGTAGTAACAGAATTTACAGACCACATTTGTGTAACTATGGATGCTGAATTGATTATGTTTCTGCACGACTTGGTATCTGCTTATCTAAAAGAAAAAGAAAAAGGTAAGTTGTTACTGATGAGGTTATGTTTGTCTGCAGTTGTCAGACTATTTGATAGTAAATATTTTCATACTTTTCAATAGAGTTGACTTGTTAAAAATTGATTTAATTTTTAAAACGTTAAGCCTAACTACTTCCACTGAAGTCAAAAGAAGTAGTTTTAAATCTTCTTGAAATGCAGACTTAATGTTACAAAATTATAGCTACCTCTTTCAGTTGCTGCTAAGTGAAGTTTATCTGCACAATAACAAAAAGTTTTTTCTGGGCTATTTTAGACTGAAAGCCAAGAGGTATTTTGACACTTCTCGACATTGTTCAGGAAATACTTGATCTGATTTTTAAGTCATCTCCTGTTAGACTGGAAGCAGAGTAGTTGCACATAGACTTACAAACCTCGTGGCTGATGTGTCACTGCTGGGCAGGGAGTTGTGTGAGCTCATCTCTCTGCTGGTTACCTCCAGCACCCAGGCACAGTGTGCCCTGGAGAACAGGCTAAGGGAATGTGATATGCTTTGTCGGATGCCGTGATCAATTTGAAAGCAAGCCCTTGTATATGGATGCAGAGAGAAGGAAGAATCCCACATTCCAGTGTTATCCAGTGTCTATTATCATTTTCATGGAGTATTTTTCACTAACGCTTTGCTCAAACCAAAACTGTTTGCCAGAAATTCTGTAAAACTGAAACACATGGTGGTTGTCTCTTTTTTTTTTTTTTTTTTTTTTTTTTTTTTTTTTTTTTTTTTTTTTTTTTTTTTTTTTTTTTTTTGCAATTTATACTTGTGTTTCTTTAAATGATATACAAGGAGAATTCAAGTGAGATGCTTGTGACTGACAGGTGTGGGGTTTTTCCCTCTCTCCATTTCGTAGCAATTTTTCCTCCTCGCATTTTGGCTGCTCGTCCGGGGCAGAAAAACTCCGTTGGTGTTCTTGAGGAGAGCTCCGCTGACAAAGAGGGGGAGGAGAGCATCACGTACACTACAGTTGACTGGAGAGAATTTATGTGCAATACGTGGCATTTGGAACCCACGCTCAGGTAAGAAGCAGGCTTATCTGCAATCTCTTTCGTTTGCATTTTCTCTGTTGGTACTGTCCTGAAAACGTCAAGTGTTTCCAAGTCGATGCTGTTCAGCTCCTGAGAGGAGGAATCAGGTGGACTCCGTTAGGGATTTGTCTTTGGCCACTGGTGCTGCTGTGAAAGATTCCTGCTACAGGACATGACAAAAGCTGGATAATTCAATTATCTGTTACATCAATTAACTTCTAGATTAGCATTTATGCAGATGAAAGATATTGGAGGCTTTTCAAAATTAGGATACAGTGAAATGAAACTCACTAAGGACCACAGACTGCTGTGTTTCACTGTCCTGCAACAGTCTGCTCACTTTCTGTCAGGGTTTTTCATCTTGTGATTTTCCATTTCTAGCATTCCAGTTTTAGTGCTTCTTTAAACAGTCACCTTAAAAGAAAAAGTACTGTATACTAGTTGCTATGTAGCAGTTTAAACCTAGCATGAAAGAATAGTGTGTCCAGCAGCAGTTTACTGCTCTTCAGGTACACTTTTAATGACTGAAAATGACTTTTCTGTCACTTCTGTGTCAGGGTTTGTTTGGTTTTTAACCTCTGCTGCCACTGCTGGAGCACCTGCGTGTTCATTCACAAATCAAAACAACACATCAACCCAGCCCAAACAAATCTTGACAGTAATAATAAATCAATTTCAGCATGACCTGCAGGCAGCCCAGTCAGGTTTTTTGCCTCCTCAAGCATCCTCTTCCTTTGAGAGAATGTTCCATTGGTCACTTTCAGCTCGTCTGTATAAATTAAGTTTGCAACAACACTTGTTGGACTTCAGTTGGTAAAAACAGATGTTTGTTTATACAAATGCCAGTTGCTATATTTGTATATTTGAGATTGAGTGTCCCCCATTGATTGTTTTTTAGACTGATATCCTGGACTGGGAGAAAAATCGATCCCGTTGGTGTTGACTACATCCTCCAAAAGCTGGGCTTTCATCACGCGAGGACTACTATCCCAAAGTGGCTGCAGCGCGGCGTCATGGATCCTTTGGACAAAGTCCTGTCGGTCCTTATAAAGAAACTGGGTACTGCACTACAGGATGAGAAGGAAAAGAAAGGAAAAGACAAAGAAGAATACTAAAAGTATAATGTGACAACTGTAATTCCGTTTGATTTTATCAAAGTGTTTTATTGTATTTTAAGAATTTAAATATGGTTTAAAGAGAAACCTAACAGCTTTTTGCTACTCTATTTAAAACTTACATTGTGAGTAACTGTTTACCGTGGTACTTGATACCATTCTGTATTTGAAGTTATTGCATGATGATGATGACCAATGTATATTCTGTGAAGGAATAGCTGGAACACTGTAAATCTGCTCCTCAGCATCCACTGTTTTATTATGTGCAATATGATTCCTGCATCTTTAAAATACTTGCAGATTAACTGTGAATTTTCATAAACTTTATTTGCCATAACACAAAACCCTCGTTGATGTGACCGGTAATTGATTTGTCAATGTAGACTTGTGTAAATTATATATATATATATAACTTATGAAACTGTGATTGCCTTAGTGCTAAAAAAATCATGTTTATTACACTTGTAATAAAATTTAACTACTGTACAGGGCTTTTTTTTTTTTTTTGGTTGTTGTTCAACTTCCTTGATTAAAAAAAAAAGAAAAAAAAGTGTGAAGTGTGAGGAGTGTCATTGCCGTGAGGTGACCGGGCGGCACCGGCGCTGCCCCCCCGGGCAAAGGAGTCCCCGCGGGGCTGGTGCCGGGCCGTGGCGGTGTGGGATGCCGCCCTGCCCGGCGGGACGGCGGCACAGGAAGCCGCCCCGACACCGGAGAAAGAAGGCAGGTTGGTCGGCGGCCATTTGCGGCACCGGGACCAGGCTCTCCTTCCCTCAGCCTCCCTGCTCCGCGGAGGGATCTTCCCCCTCCCGCAACAGTGAAGCCGGAGGGGGGCTGCGCGGAGGCATCCCCGCCGCTGAAGTGCCGGCTGTGAGGGGGCGGCCCCTCAGGGCCGGCAGAGCCCACCCTCTCAGGGAGGGTCCCTGCGGTCCACCTGCCCGCCGGCGGTAACCAGCCCAGCCCAGCGGGGGGGGGTTTTCTCATACGACAACAGGTACCAAAGCCGTCAGTTGCAGGTGGGCCTGCACACCTGACAGGGGTCAGTTTTGTCGCTGTAGTTCGGTTTTTTTACCTCAAGAGCCGGCTGGGGGAGGGTCGTCTCCTCCTCCGAGCTGGGTGCAAGGGGAGGGCGCAGAGCCGCCTGGAGGCTTGGTTTGAAGCGTGAGGGAAAGTGGCCTACGAACCGGAGAAGTGGCTTTGAGCCTGGGAAGGGGGACAGGTTGATTGATTGATTGGAAGGACGCTGGGTCTGGGTTCTTCTGCCCCAGCCTGCAGGGCAGCAGAGCGGGAGTTGTTCCTAGAGCTTTCTGGAAACGGGGGTTGGCAGCATGCCTTCAACATCTCGTAACTTTACTGTTGAACTTAACCTAGGTTGATCAAAAATGACTAGCAGCAGCGGCTGGTTCCTGAGTGCTGGAATCCCCACCTCTGACCCCACACAAAAGACGACTTTTCCAGCTCGGCCTCCGAGGGAGCCCCCTTCAGAGAAGCTCCTTCAGGCTGGGGCTGCCAGGCCAAAGCTTCCAGCCTCTGAGAGGGGCCGTGCACCAAAGGGGATGCAAAATCCAGGTATAGCTTTCAGTTTATACACTGGGATTAGCTGTTAAAATGCACTGTTAATGCTCGCGAAAGTAATTTTATGATTTTCTATTTTATGAAATGTTGCAACCCTCTGCTGCTCCTTCTTATCACTATATTTTCTTAAATGACTTCCTTAGCATCAGCTTGAAACTTGTTCCTCTACTTCCTGCGTCCTTCCTGTGGAAGTTTGTTAGAGATTTCTTGCAGGGTGGGCTGCATAGTCCGCAGCATTTCATAATTATGAATTCCAAGTTATGCATTCAGTAGTGCTGTAGAGGTTGCCAAAATACAGGGTATGTATTGCTGCATGGGTTTACATAGAGGTCATTGAGAAAAGTTTTAACTGCAGTTCTAGATGTCCCAGGGTGTATTTTGAATTCTGTCTCTTTGGATAGTTGTATTGAGGTAAAGGCAGCTATTCGTGAGACTTGGAAATAAGAGTTTATTTTAATTCTTCTTGGCTGGGAGATACTTGTGCCTGAGTATATGGCAACCCTGAAGCTGAAGATTCCATTCGTTCTGGTGTTGATACAGAGAAAAAGATTTCATTTGTTCTTTTAAATCTGAGAGAACACACCGATCTTTCATTGAAGTAGGTGCTGCGGGAAATGTTAATTGGTTATTCTGTAGAAAATCACCAAGTCAAAGACAACTTTCCCAGATACAGTATGCTCCTTGGAAGAGTTTGTCTTTCGAATGAAACTTACAAGTGTGGGTTTGCCTGGGGACTGATTCTCAGGATTTACAGAAGTCTCTTAGGACTTAGCTAGCTTGCTTTACGTTGCCCTCTGAAGAGAGTAAGGGCTTTGGGCTAGGACGGCTGAAAAACCTACCCACCTGCTGTCCTGGTTTGAATGTGGTTCATCGTGGGGGGAAGCTGCAGGGTCAGGGTGGGTGTGCAACGCAGCTCTCCCCCTGTTTTGTCCAGGCCACCTCAGCCAGAGGTGCTGTCTTTGTATTTGGCAGCTCTTTCTGAGGGGTTTTATTTTTCTTTGAATGAGTTACAAGGTTTTTGAATAATGTGTGGGTTGCTAAAACTTTTACAGTGTTTTATGACAAGGAGTCCCACTGCTTCATAGTTTTGTATGAAGAAACACGTGCTCTATATTTTTTTAATCTGCCGTCAGCAGCTTTTACTTGATCACTAATTTGCAAGGGAGGGGCAATATATGTTGTATTTACATGTGATATCTGTCTGTATTCAGAGGTTAATGCATTTAGTACTCAAAGTAAAAGTTTTGATGCTTTTGGAAGAGGAGGTACACACTGTTTTAGAATTGCTGGTATTGTTAATGTAGGATTCACTACAAAGCAGTACTGCTTTAGAGTAAATATTTTTGCTTTTTGTTCCTCTAAGAAGCATTTATTTGTAAACGGAATTAAACTGCCGAAGAGTTTAAATTTGTTCTTAATTTTGTTTCCAAACCTTTACTTTTGAAAGCAGCCCATGCACCCAAATTATCTGCACGTCCTTCAAAGAAAGTCCTAGAGGAGCTTATTGCAAGATATAAACAGGGAGTACTAAACCCAGTATCTGCCTTGCATCAGTTTGCACAAATGGGCCATGCACAACTTGAATTGAAAGAAACTAGTGTGGCAGGTAAATACTTATTCTTTTCTTAAATAAACCAATATTTCCTTATTCTTGAAGTAATCTGAATTTCTGCGGTTAGCTTTGATGGCATTAATACAGATGAGTTTTTTTACTGTTGGTTTCTCTGCATATGTTGCCTTTTGGCTGCCTTTTTATTGTTTACAGAGCTGTGTCTCATAATTAATTACTACAGAATTTGATCAGATGAATTATATATAATTCTGGCTGCTACCAAAACTGTGTTGAAAGCATGTAAAGTGAAAGCTACCAAAGTTCCTGTGGAGGTGAAAGGTTTGAGTTGTATTTCGCTAAAATTGTCTTTTTTTCTTGTAAATGTTTTTGAAATGAATATAAGCACATACAGCTATTGGTAAAAGTACCTTAATATTTAATTTCACTAATCGTACCTGCTTTTTTTCTCCTTTAAAGGCAATATCATAAGGCCTTATTTTGCCTTTTGTGCTGTAGTAAATGGTGTTAGCTACAAGACTGGATTGGGAAAAACCAAGAAGGAATCTAAATTCAATGCAGCTAAACTCGCTCTTGATGAGCTACTTAACTTGGAGCATTCAGAGGCAGAGGCTTCTGAAAAGTCAGGTAAATATTCTAGCAACACCTAATTAGAACTTGAAAAGTTTGGCTTAAAAGGTTTCCTATGCAAAATCTCTGTATAGTTTTACTAAATGCTTCTGTGTCAGGGCCTCTCTCAAATTTTCTTGAATCCTGTGGGCAGAGCTGTTTGTCCTGTGGTTCTGAGACTTGTTTCCTTTGTCTTCCGTGTTTTAGGAGTTGCATCAATCTGTAGCACAGAGTGGAGAATACTGAAGGAGTTAATTTATTTGTTGCACTTAATTTGCTACTCACTAGGTAGCAGCAATATGAGGTTGATCCTCGGTTTCGATTTTTTATAATTAAAAGTAGTAACATTTATCTTCCTTTAAGGGTTGCTGCCTGAATAGTTCCACACTTAGAAGAACTTCAAAATCAGAAAAGAAAATTCTTAGAGAATTAGAAACTCTAACTTGCTGGAAATAGTGTGAGATCGATGTTTTGAAATTTGGAGTGTCCGTGCCACTTAGAAATTTCATTAAATTCTTAGGTCATCCCTGTACTCCTGCTCAGCACCAAACTCCAGCAAAATCTGTTCATGTTTCAAGGATCTGTTTTGGTAAGGAATAATCTTGGTTTTCTCTGTTGGTTTAAACTACCCAGCAAATGCTTGCTTTTTAAATTTTTCTTTCTTTTTTTAATTATTCTTTTACTGTATTTAATGATCTCTATGAAGTTACTGTTATTTTAAACATCATCTCTTTGAAGAACGCTGTAAGAATCAGTGTCGTTAAAGTAGGAGATTGGCCACTGGTTCTGCAAATGGACACAACTTAAATTCAAGCAGTTTACTTCAGTGGCGAAATACTCTTATTTCTGTCCTTACTTGAAATATGGTATGCAGTAGGTGATCAAACTTGATCCGTATCTCTGATTTATTATCATGAATAATAAAAGCATGAAGTGTTTAGGTATTCTTGTCCTTTATTTACTTATGTCCATCCTGATAATCCTCAGAATCCCTTAAGTGTGTGTCGATAAGTAGTGCTTTTACCATGTGTTTACATTTATAATTTGGCAATTGGTTGATCCTGTCTTTTCTCCTGCCCTCCCTCCCCCCTGGCTGTGCCTTGCTGGCTTTTCTTGTTTTATTTAGAAGGAAGACAGCTTATATATCAGAAACTTTCAGAAACACTTAAAGAAGTATTTAACAGCCTGACTGCCACGTATCCTGAGTACCAAAGTTGTGGAAGTTCACTGGCTGCCTTCATCATTGAAAAAGGCAAGTCTGCATCCTGGGTATGGGGGAGTAGAAAACCTAGGCTGTTTGTGTTCCCAGAGAGCCTTGATTAATGCATTTCTCATCTAGTAAATAAATGTAAAGGGTAGCTCTCCTTCTTTGACATAGTCTGTTCCGATGGCTCTGTCATATGCATGATATGGATTTTCTTGTGCTGTCTCAAAGAGAACAAGGCTGTATAGGCCGGAGCAGGTAGATGTACCCTGGAGGAAGCTGCAGCCTGTGGGGAACCCAGGCAGGAGCAGGCTTCTGGCAGGAGCTGTGGCCCATGGAGAGGAGCCCACGCTGGAGCAGCTTTTCTTAGTTTTGGTTTTGTTTCTTGCTATTGTACTCTAATTGGCAATAAATAAAGACTGGTCTATTTTGCTCGTGATGGTAAATGCCAAGCAGTCTCCCTGTCCTTACCTTGATCTATGAGCTTTTTATTTTTTCATAAAATCATTTAGGTTCGAAAAGACTTATAAAATAATTGAGTCCAACCTGTTGGGGAACAGGGCGTGTGAGATTGACTGCCAGGTGCCCACCAAGCTGCTGACAGTGTTAGCCCACCGCAGTCAAGTGAAAATACATGATTTCTTTTTAGGTGGACAGCATGAAGTTGTAGCTCTAGGAACAGGAGAGTGCAATTACGGCCAGTGCTATCAACCCTGTGGAAGAGTGCTCTATGACAGCCATGCCATTGTTATTGCAAGGCGTTCTCTACTTAGGTGAGAATGGGTGACAAATTGTTACCAGTGCTCTTGCAGTTTTACTTTTGCAAATGTAAATATAAGTGCACTTGCATTTTAGTTATAAACCTTCTGGATTATTTTCAAATAATGTGCATTAAATGTGAAAAATGTGAATGTCAATTTATTTGTGAGCAAAGTAGTGTTTTTCACATGTGCTATTACTTAACACTTTCTTTTAGATATTTTTATAGACATCTTTTGCTGTTCTATAATGAAAATCCAGTGAGGAAAGAGAAATCTGTGTTTTGCACAGCACCAGGCTCAAAGCTGCTGACCCTGAAACAAAATACAACTATCTTTCTCTACATGAATCAGCTTCCAAAAGGAACTGCTCAGTTAAAATCACGGATGTAAGTATCTTGGTATTTTCAGAGAGGTTGTAGTGGAAGATTTATTTGTTTGCAGTGACAAATGCGTTGTGAGTGTGGAAATACACATTGTGCCATGTTTCTAAGATGGGGGGGCTATTCTGATTCTTTTCATGTGTTCTAGCATTAATGTGCAGAGCAGTAGTGATAAGTATATGAGATACAGCTCAACATGATGATACAAAAACATTTTACGTGGGTTATAGTTTCAAGATGATGCTTTGTTTATTACAGATCACCACTTACTAGTTCACCTCCCTCCCAAGATACTATCAAAATACTAATAAATCATTAATTTAGCCACTGAACAAGTGGGTGTGGTGACTTAGTATCATCCTGTGCACCACAGGAGTAGTGTATAAAAAGCCTTGAATTGAAACAATAGGCTCTTGCTCTGCTTTGTAGAAAAAATGTAATGAGAGAAACTTGATGGGACAAATATATTCGGATGCTTATCTTTACACTTCTAACTTCTGTAAAATTTCTGAAAGCTGTTTTTTAATAGTTTTGACATTCAACAGCAGCAGTCACTGGTTTACCAAATTCTAATGAACAGTGTTATTTTGTGTCCCTTATAATGGAGTAATGTCCCTGGAAGTTGTACAGCCATAACTCTTTCATGTATACAAGACAGCTAGCTGCTTTCATACTGTATTTGGGGTGCTCGGAGGGCAGACTCGTGAACTGGAAGTTACAGCCAGCTCAATGCAAGATGTGCTGACTGGGAGAGCCCCTCCTGTTACCATTGCAGGTGGTTTTTGATTTCTTTCTATGTCCCAGCCTTCTCGCAAGGAAGTAGTTGATGAGGCTGCATGAAGTTTTTAAGCTACTCCGTAGTAGTTGACAGATCACAGATCCAGCATGTTTTCTCTTGCTTTTTGTTAATTCTGGTGTGTGCTCTCTTGAGACAAACTCTTGAGAAGTATTTTCTTCTAATACAGCAGATTTGCTTCTGTGTAGAGTTATTTAAAGATAGTTTTTAGAAGGTAGCTACTTGCAAGGAATCCATTGAGTACCAAAATATGACCACTATTAACAGGCAGCAGTATGTTACTTAAGCCAAAATTAAATGGTTGCTTTATAATAATATAGTAAAGCAAAAGCACCTTAGATCACAACATTGTAAGTTATAATAAAATTGGGGAGAGTTAGCTGAAATCGCTAGGCTTTGACTTCTTATCCCTCTTTAGTTAAGGGGGCAAACTGTTTTGCTTCAGAAAGATCACTGTTTTGTCTCCCTAGTGTGTTGCATCTGCTTGTTTTAAATATTTTGAAGAGTTGCAGTGTAAGTTATGTTTTAAAGGAGATTAACAACCTTACAGCTGCTTTTTCACAAGATGAACAACCTCCAAATAACTTCTGTCATAGTGTAAGTAGACAACATGTGATAGCTTGTTTGTAGCATATGCTGATCTTTTTTAATGTTTGCACAACTGATGGCTAAGATTTGGTTGAATTACTGTTTCTTATTTAAATACTGATTTCAGTATTCTAATCACTTGAGCAGCTGAGTGTGGTGTTTCTAGAATTTACAAATACTGAGCATAATATCAGGCCCAGATCTATTGATAGTGGTTTTCTGAGAAACAGTATTAGATACCACTTTACAATAATCTCTGATTAGAATACTTTCTCACTGAAATTCATTTTCTTGCCTTACTTTAGACGTCTCAACCCGCAATCTGTATCTGCTTACGAAACTAATGAAGAACTGAGTCTCCATGTTGCTATAGAAGGCAAGATTTACCTAACCGTTTGTTGTCCACCTAAAACTGTTAGAGCAAGCAGTATGTCAGCTAGTGACAAATTAACAAAATGGGAAGTGGTTGGTATTCAGGGAGCGTTGCTGAGTCACTTCATTGAACCAGTGTATATCAACAGTATTCTTATAGGTAAGTTTAATGCACATTTCAGTGTTACTTTTTATGCTTTCGTGTTCCAGTTTCATTACATTTTATAAAACATGACCTAAACCCAGATGGTTCTTTAAAGAATTACCGTATTTTTCTGAAAAGGTACTAAGTGTGTTTTGTTTTTTTCTCTCATCTTTGAAATGGCCTAATGTAGAACTCAGGCTTACTCTTTTGTCATGGTGGGTTTGTTTTAGCTTGCCAGGTTGCCTTTCTCTGGCTATGTGTTAGAGTAAGAGAAGCTGAATTGCTGAATTTAATTTTATAAAAAATTTAATTTTAGATACTGAGAAAATGCCAAGTGTGGCAAATGCTGTATTGACTGTTCAGTCAGTTGGTGACTTTAAGGTGACAATGTTACCCACTTAACTGTAGAAATGAGCAGCGGTGGAAGAAACGCTGCCAGTGTGCTCAGTTTTATGCTGCAGTATCTTACAAGGTCTATTGGAAAGTCTTTGTTGGATTTTGTGTCATCTCTGTGGTCTCCACTCCCCCCCCTCCGACTTTGTATTGGTTCATTCAAATAGATGTCTTGTTGAGGAACAGGGATTACCAAGGTGATAATGAATTCTCAGGATTTTGTGGCAGTGGGAAAGACCATACTGTTACCAGAACTCATTTCAGTAGCTTTTATTTATGTGGTGGAATTAAATTAATGGGTATTATCCTGAAGGTTTTCGGGTGTTTCTTCCTGTCAGTATTTGTATTATGAGACTTAGTACACAGATGTCTGAGTTTTCCAGACACTGGAGCTGTAGCAGCGTTTTCTTTGCTACACAGAACAAGATTTTTGAATAGCTTCAAAAGATATTGTGAGAATTGGTGAATGCCTGCCTGTTCCTTCTGAGGAAATTTGGGCACTTCTAAGTAAAAGCAACAGAAGAACTTCTAATGTGCTCAATTAAGTGGTATTCAAAGTAAACATAATCATCTATATTGTATTGCCCTTCTATCTAATAGAAATTCTATGACTGTTCATTGAGACGCTCAGGACCAAAGTATGTTTTTTTAGTAGGCAGTCAGAAATAATGTTGGATGTGGAGTAATGTGGGCAAACTCTCTAGCATGTTTTCTAATCTAGAGCATCAAAGTTTGTGAGTTTGTGTTGCAGCTTGTATGTTAAAGGTGTCTTCTGCAAGGAGTGTGAATGAAAACAATTGATGCCCCTGGAGAAGAAACTCTGAAATAATTTTTGTTCTGCCAACTCACTATTTGAACTTATCTTTCCAAACATTAATCTAGTGTAGAAAAATGAATATGAATATGATGTGGACCAGTGGAAACATCTGCATTCTTAGCTTTTTTTTTTGTTTTTTATTTGATGTACTTAAATATGAATGGTCTTGTTTTGTTTAATAGGAAATGGAAATTGCCAGGATACGAGAGGGCTAGAAATAGCTATAAAACAGCGTGTTGATGATGCACTTACGTCAGAGCTTCCCATGCCTTACCTGGTCAACAGATCTCATACGTACTTGGTGAACGCTGCACACCCAATTCAAATAGACATTGAACAGAGATTTCTTAGTTTGAATTGGTCATTGTCAGATGCATCACTGGAGGTTGTGGATGGGTTAAATGGAAAAACCACTGAAAGGTTAGAATTTTTCTTCATTATGTCGGAAATAGTGGTTAGCCTTATTGTCTTGTGCCAGTTTATTGGAGTATTCATTTTTTAAGCTATGCATGGAGGCCACAGTATATCCCAAATGAGAGGGATTCTCTCCTGTGTTAGGTGAATGCATCCTATGATTAGATTTTGTTTTAGACATCTTGTGACTTCATAGTGAGATACCAAGGTATGAAATTAAATAGAATTGAATTAAGATATATTTATTCCATTATCTTCTGTAGCGAATGTGTTAGTTCCCACAACACATAAAACCAATTAGCACCCTAGTTCTGCTGAATTCCAGTTTGAAAACCGTTTTTGGTTCGCTTGTTTAAATTCTCACAGCTGCTGATTTGCATTAGCTTTGCTCATTCAAAGTGGAAGTAGAATCATACGATCGTATTCACAAAGCATTGGAGGGGAAGAAAATGCTGTGATGATCAAAGCAATGTACCTGGAATGTATCTGTTACTGAGCTTTATTATTATTCCTTTTTCATTTTGACTCTAGTTCACCATTCAAAAGTGGCACTTCCATGGCCAGTCGTCTTTGCAAGGCAGCGATGTTAAGTCGTTTCAGATTGCTTGCTCAGAAAGCAGAACGCAATGATTTGCTTCAAGCTGCAACATACCATGAAGCTAAGGTAAGCTGGAATGGGGGGAGAGCTTTTAGTAAGGAGTCTCTTAATGGCTACTCTCAAAGCTGGTTTGATAGCCGGGGGGAGACTTAGTAGTTTGCTGAAGACCTCACCTGAACAGCTGTATATCCTTTATTGCCTACAGTCTTTGCCTGAGAATACATGGAATTGCTGGTTTCAAATAAAATTAATCTTGAAACATTCAGAATGAAAATTTGTCATGTTTTGTCTCAGCATATGGAGGTCGCTGGCTGTTTTCCTCCCATAAGAGAGTTTCATATTAAAAAGGTTGTTAGTTTTTTTTTTTGGTTCATTAGTTCATTTCAATCTTATTTTTTATATTTGTTTCATACACATGTTGATATTTTTCTACCACAGTGTAGTCTTGTGGGAGGATTCTTATGTCATAGAGGAGTAGGAAATAGGAATCATTTACGACAAGACAGCATTAGGTTTTTCCTGTGTGTTATAAAAATACAGAGAAATCCCTTGAAGGAGCTACTGTGGTTCTTGATTGCTATAAACATAGTTCACTCACTTCTGTCCCTGCTTGGAAATGGGCAGGCTGATCTACTCATCCAGGCTTTTCCTCTCCTTAGTTCAAGAGATATATTTTATTTCCAAAATAGTTATGTGAAACTTAAGCTTTAATAAAGTACATACCGTTTTTTCTTTTTTACTCCTGTCAGAACATGCAAGAGCTCATTTTTAAATGATTCAAAAACTAATTTAAAATAGAAGAGCTTGCTAATTGACCATTTGTTCATGTGTTTAGATTTGCATTGAATTATAGTGAATGGTTATTTTCTGTGTGAAGATATTATTGGAACTGAAAAGATGCTTCAAAAATAATATTTAACAGAACAATTCCCCCATCATTATGGATGCCCAAACATACAAAAAGAGTATATTTTTAGAGTCTTTAACACTTTCTGTCACTGTCAGCTGCTAGGGAACTGTAAGATTTGTAGGTACCATTTTCCAGGAGGTATGTGCTTGTGCATAGTATATGCTGGTGCTAAAGAACACAGATATCTGGAACTATCTTTCACGATCTTTCTTTTTCTTTTTTAGATTAAATCTGAATTGTACCAACAAGCTAAAACCTTGCTGCAAAGCTACTTGGAGCAACATAGTTATGGATCCTGGATGTCGAAGTCTCCACATAGCGAACAGTTCAGTGACTGACTGTGAGGCAGGTTGTATGTGAAGTCAGTTTGGATGATTTCTTTCAGTAACGTCTAATTCTGATTAGTAAAATGTTTAACTGTAGGGTTCGTATTTGCAGCAAGAAAATCATTCCAGAGCTTCTTGTCAATTTAAATGCTGTTATTAAACCTGTAACAGTCTTTTACCAAAGTTGGTGTTTTCTTATAGGTAGGAGTATCTAACAGCTTTCCAAATCTGTTTTGTTTTGCCCACAATGCCACTTCATTTCTGCTCTCTCACTCCCACTCGCACCCCAACCCTTGTGGAGTTATTAACATGTTTTTTTCCTGTTAGTTTCAGGATTGATGTGTACTGATTTCTTCTTTTCCCCCACCTTTTTCATAACTGTCTTTAGGGAAGAAAAAAAAAAATCAGTAAAAGTTGGATTTCTTTTAAAAAAGAAAAGTATACCGATGTTAGAATCACTTTCTGAAATGAAAATTGGCAGTCTATGCGTTTTCGGTAGGCATCCTTTCCTAATAATGTCAAGAATTTTGTTCAGCATGGATTTGCCAAGTGGCTTGTAGTTTACTGTGTACTGTTTGTGGTAGAAGGGTTAAAAATAATCTGTTTACTTCCAAATGAGAAACTTTGGATTACCAAACTGTTACTCAACTGTTTGGTGACAATCGCTCTTTTTGATAATACGTTTAAAGCATTATAAAGGTGTCAAAGTTGTAAATTACAGAATAGTGTGATGTAGTACAGAAGTCACCAGAAACAAGGTTCCTTCAACTTTTGTGGGCTGTCTCAGAAACCATCACATGTTGGTGCTTATGGAGGAGTTGGATTTCTTCATCCACAGACCACTTTATCACTGTACTGATGAGTCTTCACAAAATTGTCTGCATACATAATAATCTGAAAAACGTGGCCTGTTGAGAGGAAAGTTGCTTCCTTGTGAGTGATGGTAAGAATATGGTGATATTATGATAATTATGGTGTTGTTAAGTAGCGTACTTGGGTTTTGTGTGGTGTTGTGAAACAGTGTATTTGAGCTAGATAGTACACTTCATTATGTTACTCAGTTTTTGTATATCATACAAGCATGGGAAGCTGTTAAGTTATGTAGTGTTTTCATACATCAGTAATAGTATAGAGCTGCAGTCATGTTTCAGTTTCTTATGGGAAGAGAATTCTAAAACAAAAACTGCCTTCCATTTGTTTCTTTTTTTTCCTTAATCTGTTTTCTAACTAGTATGTGGAGTCTTTGCTGAGCCTATCTTGTGTTGGTTTTCAAGTTGTTGAAACTCACTGGCTTGTTACCACCCTGTCCTTGACCTTTTTTTTTGCTATTCTGCTCTTGTATTTTCTGTTGTTATCTTTTAACTTGGAGGGGTAGGGTGGTGATGTTTTGTTGTCTTATTTGTGGCACACGCTCCACATAATATTTGCTGCATGGAGTGTTTCCTTTCTAAGAATGCTGGAGAAAGGCCATCATATTCCAGGCTAGAGCATGGTGTTGCCTTTTTTCAGGACTATTAAAACTTCAATAAATTTTCTTGACAATGTGTTAGTGTTTTATACGTTTCTAGACTGTTTTTCTGTATGGACTTTTGCTGAGACATCATCACCAGGGTGTTTTCTGCAGTTAAGCTAGGAGCCTTAAGTATGTACAAGTTTTGTGTGTGTGTGTGTAATTCAGCCATTTTATTATTGAACAGCAAACCAAAATATCTATGAAACTTACCATCCCTCTTAAGAGGAGAGAGGTTCCATTGTGAAAACAATGTGTTGTACTGGGAGTGATAGCTGTATCCTTGAGAACTGAATAGATGACAAGAGAATGGATACAGTTCTTGTATCTGGGTTGTTCTTTAAGTAACAGAGTGCTGCTGTTCCAGTAGTGAGACTGAAGATGTGCTACCAACAGGTACATGCAGAGAGAGCACGTGTACGTTATACATACATACACACATGGCTGGCTGCACAGACCAGAGACAGGCATGTAAACGTGAACAGCACCAGTAGCCTCCCCTTGAGAGCTCCCCTCCCTGCTTGAGGAGCGTGGAGGGCCACTGGTGGGACTGAGTATGCATGCCTATAGGGGCAGTGTGCATATTCCCATGTGTACAGACACACCTGCTCTTCCAGCTTGCGCCCGTTACCTCTTGTCCTGTCACTGGGCACCACTGAAAAAAGATCGGCCCATACTCCTGACACCCACCCTTTTAATATTTCTAAGGATTGGTAACATCCCCTCTCAGTCTTCTCTTTTCCAGACTAAAAAGACCCAAGTCCCTCACCTTTCCTCCTAAGAGAGATGTTCCAGTCCCCTAATCATCTTTATAGCCCTCTGCTGGACTTTCTCCTTCCCTGTCCTTCTTTAACTGGGGAGCCCAGAACTGGACACAGTACTCCAGTTGTGGCCTCAAAAGGGCAGAGCAGAGGGGCAGGATGACCTCCCTTGACCTGCTGGCCACACTCTTCCTGATGCACCCCAGGATGCCATTGGCCTTCTTGGCCACAAGGCCACATTGCTGGCTCACGGTCAGCTTGTTGTCCAGTGGGACTCCAAGGTCTTTTTCCACAAAGATGCTCTCCAGTAGGTCAGCCCCCAACCTGTACTGGTGCATGGGGTTATTCCTCCCCAGGTGCAGCACCCTACCCTTGTCCGCGTTGAACTTCATTGGGTTCCTCTCTGCCCAATTCTCCAGCCTGTCCAGGTCTCACTGAATGGTGGCACAGCCTTCTGGTGTGTCAGCCACCCCTCCCAGTTTTGCGTCGTCATCAAACTTGCTGAGAGTAAACTCTTGTCCCCTCATCCAGGTCATTGATGAATGTATTGAACAAGACCGGACCCAGTACTGACCCCTGGGGAACATCACTAGTTAAAGGCCTCCAACGGGGCTCTGCTCCACTGATCATAACCCCCTGAGCTCTGCCACTCAGCCAGTTCTCAATCTACCTCTCTGTCCATTCCTCTAAACTGCACTTCCTTCCTATGAGGATGCTGTGGGAGACAGTGTCAAAAGCCTTGCTGAAGTCAAAGTAGACAACGTCCACTGCTCTCTCCTCATCCACTCAGCCAGTGATGCTATCATAGAAGGCTATCAGGTTGGTAGCCAGTCCTGCAGCTACTATTTAAGTTTATGAACTTACCTATAATTAGTTGCAAATTTGACAGACAAAAATATACGGAGAGTTTATTTGCTTTATGTAGAGTTTTTACCAATATTTTTTAAACTTTAGATCTTTTCTCTTGTTTTTTATTAAAATTTTATAGGGCTACCAAATGGACTACAGTGATTGTATTGTAAAATGAGGAAGTTCTACAATTCTAGTTCTGTCAAATGAAACTAGATTATTTATTGACGAGAATGTGTGACATGTTGCATTCCAGATTAATACTGATGCAATCTGTATGTTGCAAATGGGTGAGTTGTAGTGAGAAATCCATCGTGTGTTTTTTCTATAGACATTTTGAACAAATGTAAACTGACTTTTCTCACTGTCTTTAGAGGTATGCTAGTTACTCCCTTTTGCCACAGGTATTTTTTTATTTAGCCTAAGCTTTTACGTTACACTCAACGGTATCTGCTCTTATCATGTGCTATGTCAGGGCAGTCTGCAAACCTCTGCACACAGAAGTGAAGTGACCAATACTGTCTGTCTTGGATCCACAGTAACAGCTTTTTGCAAGATTCTGCTGCAGTATTTTTTGCCATGCTTACTATTTGTTGCTGGGTTTTGTCATTCAGTGGCCCTTAGAGAGTGCAAAATTACAGTTACATGAGCATGATTCTTCAAGTTATTTTAATCAGAACTTGCTCTCTGAAACCTAATTCAGTCAAGGAACTTGTTGGCTAAAACAGTACGTATTTGCAGGCGTTTTTAACTTCAATGAAATGAATACTTCATCATTAACCATACAGTAGTTTTAAACTAGGTGTTTCAGACATATATAGTGACAGTCTAATAGCATTGCTTACATCTCGTGATTCTTACATAAAAGAATGGGTATTTGTGATGTGAAGTCGATGTCTTGCAAAATAACAGCATGTCAAAGTAGCAATACTTAATTCTAAGGGTTTTTTACACTACCTTTTGCCTTAGATTTCTTATGGAATGGGGGGAGTGTTTCTACATGCTTTTCCCGTGTGTGTTTTGCTAATGTGACATAAATAACTGTCATCAACTGCTGACATGCAAAATGGCTTTGCAAATGTCTTGTGTGCCGTACAGTTATGTATGGCTGAAACTGAAATAGCAACTTAAAACATTAATCAGAATCTAAAAGGCCTCATGACTGCAAGAATGTGCAACACAAGCAACTTCCTTCTACCTTAACTAGCTTTGCATATTGACAGTCCTTACAGTCAAACAGGTACTTCTCTGCTTGTTGGAGGTGCTACATGGGGAGCAAGCCAGCCAGAAAATGTTTTGAAAATCCACAGCAGAGCATGGCTGCTGTCCAGAAGTCACGCGGCAACCTCCAAAACTAGTGCCAGAGTAGCCAAAGCCTCTGCTTTCCATTACTGTAAACCTGCAGCTGTTTCAGAATATTGCAGCCCAACTCCAAAGCAGTTTGTGCAGACCAAAACCCAAAAAACCACGTGTATATATTCACACTGCATGTGTTTTGTTTATGAAATTAACGAGCTACGGCTTCTACCTTTCCTCATGAATGCATGGGTAAGTATCTCTTTACCATCATTTCTTTATTTCTGAATTACTTAATTGTTCCTACCTTATCTAGTGCTTACTGTTTAGGGACTTAGAAATACTGTCATGGTTATTCCACATGGGGTGTCCAACTGCATGGATTGACCTCTCAAGGTAGGTTTTACCAAATGTTCAGAGTTGAGGTCTGATGCTTAAGCAGGCAATAAAGGGAAGCCTCTTTTATTAACAGAACTGTGTTCAGTGAAAACTGCTCATACTCTCTTCCTGGTTGCTGAGAGCAGATAAACATGCATGGCCCAATACAGGAACATGTTTGTCTGCAAAGCCACGTTATGTGGGATGCTCTTACTTTGGGGTGTAGCTTTTTGCTGTAGGTTAGATGCTTTCGATGCAACTCAGCCTTAATTGGTTTTATTGTTCTGGTCACTTAGGTATGGGTGGTCTTGCAAGATTCTACACACTAAAATTCCTCTACGGTTGGAGTACTAGTCAGAAGCCAGTAGTGTTCATGTCATTCTTACATTCATATGGGTGTTTTTAAGATTGATCTCTCTTTGACTTTATCTCATAGGCTTAGTGCTTCCTATGACTTTAAATATTGTCTCAAATTGTTTAAATGAGACTTTTATTCATTCTTTTTGCGTGCTGCTTAAGAATTTATCAAGCAAGAAGGAATCTATATAAAGAAAAGCAGCATTCTACAAAGATTGACAAGGTAGAAGAAATTTTACACATGAACTTGTTTTCTCATACGTCATACTGCATTTGGGTATTACTGTTACTACAGGCTGTCACTTGGAAGGCATCTGATTTGTGAAGAGGGTGGAGCTGATCTCTTTGTGGCCGGGATGACTGACAGTATTTTGGTTTTCTGAGTCCTTGTGGGTGGAGACAAAGCACTCCTTTACTGTGGGAGGAGAAGATAAGTAGAGCAACAGATACCAGGCTGTAAGTATTTTCCCAGTTTTGGCAGAAAGCTGGTATTAACGCCTATTTTCTCTTTGCAGCATTCAAGAAAACTGCTGTTTTTTCCACTGTTAGTCTGTGTTTAAGTATAAGATGAAATACTCCATACCACACCCACCAGCAAGACACATCAAAGGCTAACCGATAGGCTGATAACTGTTGTAGTAGGCTTACTTTCATCAATCACAGCTTGTGGTGTTAGCATTCAGTGGTAGGTTTTGGATTGTAAAAGATGCTCTTCTTAGTTTTTTCTTTCTGCATAAAACGTACAGTGTCACATGACTGACTCCATCTTCATTTGAAGTAAGCACATTTCTGAGGTTCCACAAAAAGATTTTTGTGAATACTTCAGTATATACTGAAGTATATGTTCACATGGATTTATACATTAATCATCAATTTTACATCGGTTGTTGCTGGAAAGAACTGGCCATGTAAGTGTTCTGGGACATTGGTACCTCAGTTACCTGCATAGTTATTATTTCAGGTGAGTTATTGTTTTAATAATATTTCTCTGTTTCTGAAGATTTTTGAGAACTACATGTTGTGCTTACACCAACAAGAAAAATGTATCCTGCAAAAAATATAGCAGAAAGCCTGAGTAGCTTTGTAGGACAGCTCACAAAAAAAGTTTGGGGTTTTGGGTTTCTTTTTGGGGGTGAAAAACTTGGTACTATTACTTCTATACCTTGTTCTGTGCGCCAGCAAAAAGTGGTATTTTGTATTGCTTTAAAAAGATTATCTGTGTGTGTTTTGTTTTGGGTCTGGTACCTGTACACTTGTATACTGGTAAAGGTTTTTTTGGGTTTTGTGTTTAAAAAAAAAAAACAGAGT